ATTAGGCGCTTGAAATAAGAAATGTAGCATTACCCATTAAATTAGCATTAGTGCGTTAACAATGTGTGCATTTGGGGCGGTCCATTCTAGCTTTCTAACGCTGTTTGGATTCCAGTGGCAGTGACGTTGCACGCGTTCTGATGGTAATTGGATTCTTGTGACTTGCGTTGCACATGTTCTAGCAATGATTGGATTCATTTGACTGTGACGTTGGACGCGTTCAAGCATTGAAATGGATTCTTGTGACTGTTACGTTGGACGCGTTCAAGCGTTGATTGGATTCTTGTCACTGTGATGATGCAAGCACTGTTTTTTTTTAAAGAAACAGCTGTGGCATCTTGCAGAGACTCATCAGTGATGATGATGGACTGAAAGTGGAAGTGTGCTGGACGTTCCAGATTTTTGGGTCCTGCTTTCCAATTTGCTATGTTTACCAGTTAATATATTACCCCTCTGGATTTCCACACTGGCTGGACGTTCCAGATTTTTGGGTCCTGCTTTCCAATTTGCTATGTTTACCAGTTAATATATTACCCCTCTGGATTTCCACACTGCTGGCTTAATCTGTCTTAGTGTCCTAGACTGGCTAGCTATGTGTTGAAATATTTCATTTTATTAACTTTTTTCTCATAGACTTCCTTTTTTGAGTTTTACTTGTATTTTTAAGCCTACCTAGTGTAGAACTAGAGTCCAGGATTGGAATTTTAATTTTCCTACTTCTTAAATCTTGTGGCTCTACTTTTATTAAACTTCTTTTAGGCATGGAATATATCTCAGGATTGAATTCTAAAAATTAAGGTTCATATACCTATTATTTCTGATCCACCTTCACCACTTTTTTTGATCCAAAAATTTTAGTTGAAATAGAAGGGACAAAAATAGGGAGGGATTAACCCATTAATGATGAGAATTATTTTCTGAATTCTTTTTCGGTTCCTTGTGAGAATATTATCATTTGTGATGGTAATAAGCAAAAAGTATGTTCATATTTTTATTTTTCGTCGTATGTGAAAAATTATAGCTTGGTTCCATATGGAACCGCTCGGCATTAACATAACGTTTCTTCAAACAACACTTTTTCCGATAGTAAATCAAGCAAGGTTGTTCATAATGGATAATACGTAATAGTATATGTATTCATAATGGACAATACTGATGATAAACCAATCATGGCAGAATACAATTCAATGTTTAGCATAGAATGCTTCCATTCATTCAAAATGAATAGGAAGGTTTCCCATTTTACGAATGTTTGTGGGTGCATTGTCAACATTGTTTACGAAGCACTGCATTTGCAGCGCTTCTGATGTCTCTTTGCTGGCCGACGTTGTTGATTGTTGTATTGCACTTCATCAAGGATCGAAGTAGAAGGGTGCCCTATAGACCCTGATTGTTTTACTTAGGGTCTCCTGCATTATTGCATTTCCTAACCGATATTTTTGAAAATTTATTGCAATAGCCATTCTTTTTTTCAAAATTTTTGAGAAGCCAAATGAAACCAGAATAGATATCACATATATATAATATGTTGGCTTGGGACCAATTGTATCGTGTTTATGGGACCAATCCATGTTCCAGCCCATGAATAAGTTTATTTTTCTATTAGATGTGCCGATTGGCTTCAATAGCAGAAAAATATCATCTGATTTATCTGCTGGCCAAAGTCTATAACTAAAACTCACGGGCTAGCCACGTATATGTTGTAGTATAATGTGGCCATGGCGACCACAGATGACTTTCTTCTCTGTCGATAGTCATTGTTTTCACATTTGGCGATTACTGTTGCTACAATGACTATTCTCGATCGGCGAGCATAATTGCTAGTGGCTGCATCATCTGAGTTATCTGAATCTCAGTATGTTTCGTTTGTTGCTGCTTCTGTGAAAGGTTCAATCGCAAATATTTGATCTTTGTGTTATTCTTCTCTCGAAATCTTAATTATTTCATGTGATGATCTGCCAAAAATACAACTAGAAAAAAGTGACTTGGATGAAAAATATAAAACCTTAAAGTCTGTGTCGGACACTGGAACGTTGCACTGTTCGGCGTGAGTGCGCACAGCCGAATGAGGAGGGCGCGATAGTAACTGCCCAGTCCTATAACTCCTACCTCTATGCTCAGCGACCCGAGTGTAAAAGTGCAACGCCGAACAGTGCAACGTTCCAGTGTCCGACACAGACTTTAAGGTTTTAGCTTATAGTTCTGGTGCTTCCGATCTGCGTATTTTGAAGTCTGTGAATATATTAGGAATCCTTTAAGTATACTTTAAGTATACTTGTATTTGCTGATTTTAAGTGGTAAATAAATTAATAGATGATTGATTTAAGAGACGGTTTTAGACACATAAAAACTAATTCCAACACGGTGTTGGAATTATAACACAGAGCCGTGACACAGGGTTTTGTATCCCAACACAGCTCACAAAGGGTGTTTGAATTCTAACACAGGGTGTCGGAATTACGAATTACGATTTTGAAGTGCTGTCGGAATTAGTCTCACAATATGCCGCATTTAGTCACACACAGTGTCAGAATTCGGGGATTTTGTAGATTTGAATTCCAGGGTTGGTGATTTTTTTTTATTTTTTAGTAAAAAATGAAGATCAATAATTTTTTTAGATTTTTTCAAGATTTTTTTTATTTATTTTTTATTTTTTCAGTTTATTTATTTTTTTGTCTTTTCAAAAGGTTATTTTTTATGTTGCAATTAGCCTACTAACTATAACAGTATGTGGATCATAATGGATGGCTAAAAAGGGCACTTATTGCCTTCAATAATGGCCAACAGGCCAAGGTGGTGTCAACCACTTTAGGATTTTTGGGTAAATAATTATTGATAAGTCTATTCATTAGCTTTGTACATTTGGATGGAGCAAGGTAACAAGCTAAATATTGACAATTTAACCGGCATCAATATACAAAAACACTTGAGGAATGCAGATCTTCTAAACGTTAAAGAGTCACACAACAGATACTGAGATAGGTAGCTGATAGCACAGTGCACAGCAGCATTAATAGATCTACTAGTTTTATGTCCTATAAATCTACCAGACAGTGTGGAATTCCAGAGGGGTAATATATTAACTGGTAAATACAGCAAATCGGAAAGCAGGACCCAAAAATCTGAAACGTCCAGCACACTTCCACTTTCAGTCCATCATCATCACTGATGAGTCTCTGCAAGATGCCACAGCTGTTTCATTAAAAAAAACGGCGCTTGCATCATCACAGTAACAAGAATCCAATCAACGCTTGAACTTGTCCAACGTAACAGTCACAAGAATCCAATCAACGCTTGAACGCGTCCAACATACTGTCACAGGGATCCAATCATTGCTAGAACGCAGGGTTGGCAATTTTTTTGATTTTTTTAAAAAATCAAAAAAATCAAAAATCAATGATTTTTTTTATTTTTGCATGATTTTTTTTATTTATTTGATTTTTTTGATTTTTTCAGCTTCTTTGTATTTTTGAGGTGTTATTTTCTATGTTGAAATTAGCCTACTAACAATAACAGTTAGAACAATTAATTGTTAGAACAATTTAATTAGAATACTTGTATTAGGGTTAAAATCTGTCTAATTGCCTAAAAGGTCAATACAATCTCAACCTCTCAATATACTGGGTGGGGCAGAACTGATTGCAGATTTGAGGCAAAATAAAAGAGTAATGTAGGTACATAAAGAAGAAAGTTTATTTTCCTCAAGATTAGCATGACATACTATCTAAAATACTTATGTTTTGAAAACAATATCTGGAAGATGGGGGCTGTTAGATGCAACACACTATTGCAGTTGTTCTCAGAGGAGGGAGTAACCATGACAGTGAATTCCGATCGATATGCTGCAATGTTGCAAAATTTCTAGCAGCCCAGGATGGAAAACATTGTTGAAAATGAAGCACTGGGAGATGTGTGGTTCCAGCAGGATGGGGCTACAGCTCACACAGCCCAAATGTCACTCCATGTTTTGAAACGCATGTTTCCTGGGGTCTAGGTCTGGTGTCTGAGGGGTGATTTACAGTGGCCTGCAAGGTCACCTGATTTGAGCATTTGCGATTTCTTTCATTGGTCACATCTAAAAGAGAAGGCATTCAGAAATCATCCTCACACCCTACCACAGCTAAGGGGACAGATTATTGCAGCAGAGGTTATGGTCATACCTCGCCATATGTGTGAACGTGCTGCAGGAAACTTCTGACAAAGACTCCAACAGTGTGATGCAGCTAACAGACACCATCTTCCTGATATTGTTTTCAAAACATAAGTATTTTAGATGGTATGTTACCTCCAATACTCTTTTATTTTGCCTCAAAACTACTCAATCAGTTCTGCCCCACCCTGTATAAGCTAGCTAACACATTTAAATTGTATATTTTAATCAATATATAACAAATAGTTAAAGACTACTTATAGCCTTATAAGAATTAGCTAAGCTGCTAGCTATGTACAATGTATTGCAACACTTGATGCCTCTGTACCAAAAACCTTCAATTTATTGGAACCTAATACACACTGAAGGCAACAAATTTATATACCAATTTATCATTCATAGTACATTCATACTAAACCATGAATAACAATACCTCAAAATAAATTGAACACTGCCACAGTGCCACTCAGGGTTGGCAATGATTAAATCATGTGATTAAATCACTTGATTTTTTTTATAAAAAAATCATGATTTTTTTGATTTTTTTGATTTTTTTGATTTTTTCATATATTTAAAAATATTAAGTGGCAGTCTTTAATTTATATTTAGGTATTGTTATTCATGGCTTGGTATAAATGTACTATGAATGACAAATTGATATATAAACTGGTTGCCTTTAGTGTGTATTAGGTTCCAATAAATTGAATGTTTTTGGTACAGAGGCATCAAGTGTGCAATACATTGTACGTAGCTAGCAGCTTAGATAATTCTTATAAGGCTATAAGTAGTCTTTAACTATTTGACTATTGGTTATATATTGATTACAATGTACAATTTAAATGTGTTAGCTATCTTATACAGGGTGGGGCAGAACTGATTGAACAGTTTTGAGGCGAAATAAAAGAGTAATGGAGGTACATAAAGAAGAAAGTTTATTTTCCTCATGATTAGCATAACATACCATTTAAAATACTTATGTTTTAAAAACAATATCAGGAAGATGGGGTTTGTTAGATGCATCACACTGTTGGAGTTGTTCTTGGAAGTTTCCTACAGCACGTTCACACATATGGCGAGGTATGGCCATAACCTCTGCTGCAATAATCTGTCCCCTTAGCTGTGGTAGGGTGTGAGGGCGACTTCTGAACCCCTTTCTTTTAGATGTCCCCAAAGAAAGAAATTGCAAATGCTCAAATCAGGTGACCTCGCA